CTCCCCTGCGCTGTTCCTGCTCCTCCCTGCGGGGTTTGGGGATCCCCTGGAGCAGAGCTGGGTGGTGGCTCTTGGAAAACTGGGGATTATCTCTGGGGGAAAAGCTGTCAGCTCCCTCCAAACCTTCCCAAAAATGGGCTGGGGGAGGGAGAGCTTGGCTTTTTCCCTTTTTCCATCCGGAAAAAGGCATCGTGACCATGGCCAAAGGGGAAGTGTGACCAAAGGGACAGTGTGACCATGGCCAAAGGAGCAGTGTGGCCATGGCTGTGGCCAGTGGGGCAGTGTGGCCATGGGTGGCCCTGAGCCCCCTCTTGTCTCCATCATGGGGACACCCATGGCTGGAGACCCCTTCACCCCCAGCCCATCCTTGCTGCTCTTCCATGGGAAAGTTTCCTCCCCCCAGTTTGGTCCCACTTTGCTCTGGGGTGGCCTTGGAGGTGTCACCCCTTTGCCACTGACCCTCCCGTGTCCCTTTCTGGGCTCCTGGGAGCTGAGCAGGTCCCATGGATCCCCAAACCCACCCCACGGCCCTCTGGGAGGAGTTTTCCATGCCCTGCCTCATCTCCCGGCGGATTCCAGAGGCTGCAGGGCTGGGAAGCCTTTGCTCCAGAGGGTTTTTATCAGTCTGACAAGGCTGGTGCCAAAGGCTGTGACCTGTCAGGCTCCAGCTCGGGGCAATTCCCGCTGCTCTGGCTGCCCAAACTTGGGAAGAGACAGCAGCAAACGATCCCTGTGGTTTCAAAGTCCCATTGCCATATATCCCCCTAAAATTGCTTCTCAGCTGGGAGCTCTTTGCCGCAGGAAATTGTATTGGATCTGACTCAGGTGGAAACAGATAATTTGTGGAATTTCCGATCAGTTTTTCCCTTTCCTTGGCTTTTCCAACCGAAAAAAAACCCCCCAAAAATGGAGAGAAGAGGAGGGAAAAGGGTTTGTGAGAGGAAAGGACTTTTCTTTCCTGATTTGAGTCAGATCAGCCAGAAAAAGCATTTTCCTTTTTAAACCTCCAGCAGCTGATGCTGAAGGGAATAATAATAATAATAACAATAATAATAACAATAATTATCATTAATATAAATATGTTATATTATTATATATTGTTATTATATGCTATATATTATATATTTAAATATTATATATTTATATATAATATATTTATGTATTATATATTTTATTATGATAATTTATTTTTATTATTATTATTGTTATTATTAATGATTATAATAATAGATTATTATTAATATTTATTATATATTACATATTATATATGACATATTATATTTTATATATTATATACTAAATGTTATATACTCTATATTCTATATTCTATATAATATATACATTTATATATTTAAATATTATATTTATATATATTATACCGTATTTTATTATATATTATTAATTGTTTTTAATAATGATAATAATGATGATGATGATAATGATGATAATGATGATAATAATAATAATAATAATAATAATAATAATAATAGTCAAAAGTAAGGCAGATCCAGGGAAGA